TATATATATATATATATACATACATACAAAAATTAGAATCAATTTTATACTCATTTTTGTAACTATCCAACAAAAATTTAGAGAATCTAAAAATATTTTATTTAGTAGCTAACACAATGAAAGATTTGTGGTGGTAGATTAATGAATTATTGACTCATTGTTGCATGAAAACACAATACACACTCAGATATATAAAGAGAAGTAAGCAAGATTTAATATTTCAATTTTTATGTGGAAAATTTTGAAAAAGAAAAAAATATTATAGGATCTAGCTCAAATGAAATAATCTACTATGAATGATGAGCACAAAATTACACTTTTCTCCTGAATTAGAGAAGATAGAATTACAAAGATTATCATTGTAAATGTATTATAATGATTCATTGATAATAGACATAGTCTGACTGTACTAAGTGTAGTTCTCAGTGATAGCAAGTTGTAAAGGTCGTAGTTGTTTGATATGGATGCAGTAGTCCACTGTGAATGATGTAGATGGTTGTAGCGCGAGCTTGTTGTTTAGGACGGTGGGCAATGACTAGATAAAATGGTGGGGTAGCAATGGAATGTTATCTGTGGGACGTAGATCGGACGACGACGGTGGAATGTCGGCCCACTTATTGGATGACGAAGATGCATATTGCGCAGGAGTGTCGTGAATCGTGCGCAAGGGCCCTTGCATTGCCGGTGTGTCATGGATCTGGCAGGCACACTATTCGATCCGTGCTGGCATAGCCAGGCTACTGGATCCATGTGGGTGTGTCGTGAATTGCGCATATGGGTTGTTGGATCCACATGGTCATTTGTAGACCAGTCCTAATTGGATGGTTCTAGCAAGATGGTTGAGTTGGTTTAGACCAACATGGTGAAGCCCCAAAAAAGAGTTCCCATAGGGTCACAAGGTATTAGGGAAACCCTTTATGACTTGGAAATCACCTCACACCATATAAACATTCAACACACACCACTGCAATTCACATACACTACATACATATTCACATATTCCACATCACATACCCATACAAAAGGCACACACAACCCATACATCATTACAGTTTACATCACCGCATACCTCCCCCACACATCACTCACTTCACCTTATACACATTCATATCACACTACATACACATTCACCTCATTCCACAAACTCACACATCACTACACTTTTCCATGCACGAAATTTCTTCTAAATTGCCCCAATTACCACAAAATTCTCAGAACCGCTCAAAATCCTCAAAATTGCCAAAATACCCCCTCCAAATTGACCAAAATTCGCCCTATACCCTAAATTCACCAAATTTAAACCATGGGTTACTTATCACTGATCCCTAACAGTAATTATTACTTATCTTTATAATCATTCATAAATATTTAGTTGAATACTAACTATTTATAAAATTGATAATTTAATAATATAAAATTTAGTCATTAAATTAAAATAAACTAATTCATAGTTACTATCTCTTGACCTCCAACCTTGTAAGTTAAGTTAGGTTATTAATGAGATTTTAACTTGCAAAGAGAGTTGAAATTCAAAATCATTATAGGCTTTAGATTCAAAATTGCAATAAGAACTAAGACATATATAGTAATTCTCAGTAAAAATAAATAAATAAACAAGAGAAATCAATATTAAAAAAATAAGGAAGCAGAAATCTTGTAGAAGCTCATAAAAAAAGAGAAATTTTAAGAACTTTTAGGGAGAAGTTTGAGGCGAGGGTAAGATAAAAAAAATTGGTGTCAATTCCTCTTCTAAAGATTAAAGGATCAATAACTTTTCTAATCTAGTCTAGACACTTTATATTCATAGAAATGATAAATGGATTAAAATGGTTTAATTGGATGGATAACTGGATTTTATGGTTAATATTACTTTTATGTAGGTTAAGCTTCAAAGAAGTGACTTAGGAAGAATACATAGATTTGTAATTACTATTTGTTATAGTTGTATTACTATTTGCTATATCAAGTTCCTACGAGAGTACTCCAAAAGTTCAATCCAAAGGAAAATACAAGTCAACCTTTATTAATATATATTTTCTATTTAATTAGGAAGTAATAGATCTTTAATCATTGACCACCACTACACTATGCAATATTATAATTTTAGATTTTCAAATTACTTGAGAACAAGCAATGTTTATGTTTGGGAGAATTTGATGTGTATTAGAAATGTCATCATATATATTATATTTTAATCTAATTTTATGTTACTCTTAGAAGGACTTTATGATGTATTTTGTAGGATTCAGGTTAGAAGATTCATCAGAGTCGAAGAACCAAGAAAAATGAGCTAAGAAGAGCTGGAGCCAAAGCAAAGCGCTTAGCATCCAAGGAACCTGAGTTTGATCCCAAATATAGAGAAGGCAAAAAATGGGCATTGTGCTAGTGGTGCATATGCACCATGATCTAAGCACCTAGGTGCTAAATACAGGCACCTAGGCGCCTAAAGCCCTAACATCAGGACCAGAGCAAGTGGAAAGTAGGCTTCAGACCGTCAATGCTCAAGCACTAAGAACCAGCCCTAGACGCCACATATCAGCACCATAGACACCGGTTAATGCATTTTGATGGTTCGAGTGATTCACAAGCACCGATTTACAATCCAAGTAATAAAAGGCTTTGTCAAAGATAAAACAAAGCATTCCAAAGGCACGGGACAGAAGGAAATGAAAAGCAAAAGTTTCAAAGTGCAAGAGAGTTAATTGAGAAGTGATTGTGAGATTTTCTATAGTGTGTAACTGTGTTTGTAGTTTCAACATTTCCTTTAGAGAAAGAAGAGAGATAAGTTTGGTATCTTCTTAGTGTATTTTATCGGAGTTTATCCTTTCAATCTCTTATTTTTTATGTTTCTTATCAATAAAATGATTATGTCGATGTCCTCAATCATGACTAGTGAGCAGAATTATTTTTCTCCCTTCATTTGGTGATGCAGGAATGTAAATTTTAATTTTTCTTGTGTTATTTTCTTGAACCTTTTATAAGGTGATGTTTTAACCTTCAAATTTTCATTTACATTCAACCTGGTTAGTTGGATAGTTAAAATTTGTAGTGATTTTCAAGTTTCTGAAGAAATTTTAGTGGAACAATTAGGTTAACACATAATAACTTAAGAGAATAAAAAAAGATAGCGTAATCCTTCAGGGAAATACAGAATCTTGGGCTAATCAATTGATTAAGGGAACTAAACATGTCAGATTGTCAAGCTTTCTTAGACACCTGAGGTGATAAGGGGGAGATTTGTTCCTAATTCTCACCTACAATTTGAATAGCCCAATCAAATTTAGAATCCTGCAGAAACAATTCAAGAGAGTATTTTACTAGCATAAAAAAACTTCACCCACAAACTAGAAAACACTGCTAAAAAATTCAAAAAATTGAAAATGTTTAAAAAGAAGTCGGGAGAGATGGTGAACATACCTCAAGAAGAACAAAACAAACCTAAACCCAATGTCATGACTAGACCTCTTCGGGAATTTGTCACCCCATTAATAGAGAAAACTCACTTGAGAATCAACAACCCTACCGTAGAAGTCGATTCATTTGAACTCGAACCAATCATTAATAAGAAGGTACAAAATAACCAATGGGGGTCACCCACATAAGACCCTAACTTCCTTGTAGTTAGTTTCCTTGAATTGTGTAACATTGCCTCTGACGATAATAATAGACTGAATTCCTTGAACTGTGTGCTACCTAGGTGTTTGTTTCTAGCCAATTTTGATTATTTTCTTAGCCGATTAAGTGTCTATAGTAAAAGGATGGACGTCGCTCGGAAAAACCAATTGTTGTTAATGTTATTGGTGGGATTATTTCAATCCCTATTAAAAGATTTGAGGACTAATTTGACACCTTGAAAAATAGAATTGCTCCTGTAGATAGCCAGGAGACCTTTTTTAGCACTTTTGTCATCATTTAAAAGCATAAATAAACAATGATGTCATAAGTTCTTAAGTGTAATGAGCAAACAATTTAAATTGAGTATAGTTGGGTAACTAAACTTCTTTTTAAGGATTCGAGTGAGGCAATAAAAGGAAGGCATTTTTATTTATCAAAATGAATGCACAAATTAGCTAATTAACAAGTTTAGAACAAATATATTCAAGCCCAATAGATCAATCATGACGAAGATGGCAATTCCATGAATAATAAGTTGTATAAAAGTATGATGGGATTTCCATTATACCATACTACTAAGCAGTCTAAAATTATGCTTGTCATATGTGTTTGTGCTGCTTCAGGGCTATTCTTAAAATATCTCATTTAATAAAGTGTATATTTTATTATTTTATTAGGACCCATATTAGAGGTGACTTGATTAAGAATTCACTATTTTGTGGCTTAGTTTTCTTACCCAAAAGTTGATTATGCTAGTTGTAGTCAGTTGAAAATGTAGCTATTTAACATGCCATTTTTTAGGATCAACAAACCAAAGTTTGATTATTCTAGTTGGAGTCAAATGAAAATGTAGCTATCAACATGCCATCCTTTAAGATCATCACTTATGTCTTGGGTTAAAAAAATAATAATATAAAGCTTCATCTACTATAGAAGCAGTATGTGTTTCTACAAAATTATGCTGCATAGGCACTTAATTGGCTAAGAAAATAGTCTCAGAAGATTATAACACTAGGTTAGAGCAGGTTATAGTTAAGTATAAACAAGGGATTGAGCTATATGAATATTCAAGGAAATCTGCACCATTAAATTTACATTTATGGCATTGGCTCAAAAAGATGGTGCATTTATACAGAGGATCTAAATTTGAAAGTACAAATGTATTAAGAAAATCTCTAATCACATCAGATCATAACTATTAATAAGGTCATTCATAAGGCTTGATGACTGGGATCATCACATAAAAATTCATGCAAGTCTATCTTCAAGCTCCATGTCAAGTTAAAAAGCAAGGAAAAGACTCAGAACTTGAGTTTGACTTGTAAGGAGTTTTGAGTACTGCACCAATGATCACCAAAAAGATTCAGGGTTTGCTACCATTTTTCTTTTCAAATTAGTGTCACAACTCCAATTGATTATTACTTGGGTGTTATTTTTTAGAAATCTATGTAATGAAAATTTGATTTTCACAAATAGATCTGCTAATGTGTGGGAAGTTATAGAAAGTTATTGTTTTTTTTCAAAGAAGAAAATATTTATAATATCCATAGTAGCTTTCAAAAAAAAAAACTTTCTTAACAATAATTTTACAACAGCACTGATGAAAAACTAGATTCACCCCAAACAGACACATAGCATAGAGTTTAGAAATCAATATCTAAGATTCATTTTAGTTTCCAATTATGGATATAATTTTAGCAACACTCATTCAGCTCATCTTATTGACACTCCTATTTCCTACACAGTTCCATATTTCAGCTCTTCCTACAATAAAGTACCAGAATTAAGTTTTATAGGGTGAATAAGTCAAATTATTTAATTAAATGAACTGAAAACAGTCTGTGAAGAGGAAGCCACCAATGCTAAATCTGCTTGAGAAGGGTTTGTTCATGAGATGGTACAGTGAACTTTGCTGCAACACTTGTTTATTGTTTTAGGTGTCCGAGGAGAATTAATAGCAGGCGATCCGGCTAAGTTCGCCTTCGACCGTCTCCTGCAGAAAAGAAAGATTCATTCCAGGCACCCATAAGGCTAGCTCACAAGTTCACGAGAGCATCTCACTTTGTCTATCTCCCACTCCCCGCCACAATCTCACCATTTAAAAAGAGTGCAAAGCTTCAATGAATAAATCAGTTAAATGACAGAGGATGGTATGTTAATTAAAAAGGTTGAGACCGAAGGATTCTGAATAACAAAATTACACGAAGTATCAACCAAAATTACGAGTAAAACGATAATTTTGAATTAGGCTAGAATAAGAATTGTGTGGAGATATATTAATACAATTTGTTGTAGAATGGGATTGAAGATCGTAGGATTTGTTTTGAGATTAATATGATACAAACTTTTCCCATGCTGCACTAATATCAAAACAAATCCAGTAAATTAGAGTTTCATCCTTATATAATTTACCAGGATATCCTGATAAAGATTTTTTTTTTATTAGGAGGCGTATAAACATACAAAAAATAAAACGTAACTGCATCCAAGAAGTGAGGAAAGAAATAAGGAAATAAAATGTCAGACGCTGGCAAACTGAATTTACCCGGGCAACTAAATTTTGTGTTCAAATATTGTTTATGACAAAAAAAATGATTTCACGGATCAATCCCCAAAGTAAAATCAATTCATCACCTGCGGAGCTAAATATAATCATATAAATGAATTGAAATGCTATAATAACTGTGAAAATAACAGGCAGTGGCATCATACACTGGTTGAAACATGAAGAGAAATGCATAAATCCTCAAAAAAATTTCAATACCTGAGATTTTCTTCTTTCTCATGGCCCAAAAATTATCTAGTTTTGTGACTGACCCCCTTGTTGATTGAACCAAATAAACTTGACATACAATAAATAAGAAGAAAATTGCACCTTTTTGATATTTTCATTGGAACTTAAGAATTATTCAAATGTGGATGCTGAAAAAAAATAAATAATATAGAAAATATTTACTAACATGTATAGTTTGTCCAAAAATTTCTAACACCTCAAAAATGGCAATCAAGAATAAAGCATTAGACCCGTATAAAAGGTCCAACCAGCAATATGATACTAAAAAAGGACCACAATAGAAAAAAAATTAGCCTATACGGATAATGAAATGCAACTACTCCAAAGCAGATAATTTGGAAGGGCTAGTTATCTTCCTTCATGATTGTTTTATATTTTTCTTAAGAGGGATTAAAATAGAGATCAGTTCCTCACTTGGCCATCATAATCTTGACGAACTCATCATAGTTTATTTGGCCATCTCCATCCATATCAGCCTCACGGATCATCTCTTCAACTTCCTCATCGGTGAGCTTCTCACCAAGGTTAGTCATGACATGGCGGAGCTCAGCAGCGGTGATGAAACCATTCTGGTCTTTGTCGAAGACCCGAAAGGCCTCTCTGAGTTCATCTTCAGAATCAGTGTCTTTCATTTTGCGAGCCATAAGGTTAAGGAACTCAGGGAAATCAATGGTTCCATTACCATCAGCATCAACCTCATTGATCATGTCTCGCAGTTCTACCTCAGTGGGGTTCTGACCAAGTGATCTCATAACAGTTCCCAGTTCCTTTGTTGTGATGCAACCTATATAGATACACAATGCAAGGCAGAATGAATTGGTCTCCATATTGAGTAAAATAACTTTTTGAAACTGCATTTCAAGAGAATCGAACACACAAGTACAGGAAAAAAACTAAAAAATTTCAACAGTGATGTGTTGTTCTGAATGTTGAAGAGATTATATCCGGACAAGGAAAAATAAGTTTTTAGTTCAAAAAGTTTTAAAAATAAAAGCATGAATAAAGAAAGGAAAAATTTGGTCAATCGCTACAATAACATTTGTTTCCCTATCTTATATATAGACATAGACTAGCAAAGAGTCTCGTGTGATGCCACAAAGTATAGTTAGGTTTCACAACAATTGACGCTAAGCATTTGCAAGATATAGATAAGTGAAATTATTAGATGTAAATATTTATTTAGAAAATTTCATAAGCGTAACAAACAAGAGTGTTGAATTTTATTTTAGATCTCAAATATAACTAGAAAACAATATTAATATCAAATACTTAAAAAGAGGATAGCCAGAAACTCAAATATTATATCCTCAGTATAACTATACAAAAAATAGAATTATCATCAAAGTAATTCCTGAAATGCCACTTCAAGTCTAACTAAATGGAACCTAGTATGAAAAATGAAGATGTATGAAATTGCAATATCAAGAGCACTGAGAAAAGCTTAATGGATATAAAGTTGTCATAATAAAAAAACAAATAGGTGTTTGAATACAAAAGAAAGATTAAACAAAATAAAAATGGAAATCACATATCAGTTCTGACAATTTTGAAACAAGAACGAAAAAGTAAAATAAACAAAAATCAGTTAAATTTTTAAAAGATCCGATCTTAAAATTTAGACAAAAGATTAGTGTGCATTAAAAAAAAAGAGAATATCCTCCTCATATTCTTTCACTAAAATTAAAGATAAATTTAATGGAGAAATGCAGGAAATTGCAATATCAAGAAGAGCGCTGTGAAAATCTTTAATCGAGACAAATTTGTCAAAATTAAAAAAGCAATCAAGTTTTTTTAATAGCAAAAGTTAGTTTAACCAAAATTAAAATGAAACATTAATTTGATAAGAACTTCAAAACATGTAACTAAAAAGAAATAAACAAAACGTGTCATACTGTTCAGAGTACCAATCCTAAATTTAGACAAAAGATAAGGGAAAAAGAGGAAAAAAAGCAAAAATTTATTTCCGCTGATTAAAAAAGAAAAAGATATAATTTAGAAATTAATTTGCACAACAGTAACTATATTTTAAGAAGAATCTTTCATTTTATATAGAAAAATTGTAAAGGAAAAGAAGTAAATAAATAAAATTATATTAATGAAGTAAATTAAAATAAAATATATAAGAAAATCATGCATATTATCAGGTCTCTTGAAATATGTTTATTATTCAAAGTATCATCATTATCATTAGCCTTATCCCAACTATTTCACGCCTGTATAATTAATGAATCATCATTTTTAATTCATTCCAATGGAGTGAAACTTCCATTTGCTCTTACAAAATGTTAGTGGAGCTGTTAAACTACTTGGCAAATCATTTGACTAATTCATATTATGTTACCTAAGGCTACCTCTCCTCTCTTCTAATTTGTTAAAATTAATTTTATCAATTTTTTTAATAAGTGATTTTACTATGTTTCATTGTACATATTAAAGCTACTTAAATCTTTTTTTGATTTCCTTGATTTCTACAGATGTCATTTAACTGCACTTTCTAATATAATCAATTCTCAATTCATCTTAATTTTTCCACACTTCAACGACAAGCATCCATATAATATTTTTACCTAATTGCAATCATAAAACCTATCTTTAAAACCTTACCGCATTAAATTCCTAAGGCACTTATCTATCCCACCTGCTCTGCTGCATATTCTTAGCTCTGTCACTATTATTCTATATAATAAATCTAAGGCACTTAAGTCTATCACATTTAAGTATCACTATCTTCTAATAATATTAATTAATAATTTTTAATAAAAATTAAATAAAATTTTATAACAAACCTATTCTCTGACTAAAGTGTCAAAATAGTCACGGAGTCTATAAAGATGTCAAATTAGTCCCGAGATTCTTTTAATATAAGCTGAAATAGTCCCTTAAGAGGACTATTAAGTTTTTTGTCTCCTTAGTCTTTGATCAATTAATTCTAAGTCATCTATCTTATAAATATCCTCCATTATTAAGCAACTTCACCTTTTTTAAAGAATGCACATCAATTTTTTTTCTTTTTTCCCCCCACAAACACCCAAACACATGCACACCGCACATGCAAGGCCTTGAACTCAGGATCTCTTGGTTAAAAGACAAAGCTCTCAACCACTGAGCCAAGATGGCTTACATAAGTATTCATCAATTAGAACTATATCATTAGCAATAAAATAAACTATTACAACTCATCTTGAAAATCTTTAATATACATCTCAATAACAAATATAAATAGATATAAACAAATTTTGATCATTGATGAAATCATATTTATAATTAAAAATTCTAGTAATTTTAAGTACTAATATTAGCTAGTGTTTTATAATATGGATATGTGTATGTATATATGTTTATGTATAAAGCAATCTTAAAAATGTACAATTTGAGGTGCGCCTTGAAACCCACCTCAGTGTGATTCCAAAAAAAATGCTTTATCTCACATTGCTTGAGGCACGCCTATAGGCACGCCTCGCCGCAATTCCGCTAAGGGTGTATCTCACACTTAGTTTCTTTCTCATATATTAGAAGATTTGAAAATGAATCCAAGTCGCACACCACACACACGAGCTCCCCTCTCCTGATCAAGCTTCCCAACATCGCTACCTGTTGTTTGCTACTTATGGTCGTCGCCACCTAATAGTTCCTACTACTATCTCCACTGATAGTTGCTTTTGCTACTATGGTTTTCATGCGCGGTAGCTATTATTGTTGTAGTCGCGGCCTTCAGCTGCTTCTGTTCTCGCCACCGCCAGCTGCTCCTACTGCCCCAACTATTGTCTGTTGCCCAGGCATTTTGATTACTTATTATGTTTGTATTTAGATCTACAGATGTTAACAGTAGAAGTGAGATAAGTCTACTATGCTAAACTCGACTTATATCTTTAACATTTTATATTATTTTTATGTCACATTTTATGTTAGTTTCGGGACTTGATAGGTTAATGTTTACATTATATTTTATTTTGTAAATGTTGTCACATAATATTTTGCATCTTACGCAATTCATTATTTTATATAAACGCAATTTGTCATTTTTTACTAGGCTAGAATATTATGTCATTTTTACTATAAATATAAGTTATGATGTTGATGTATTATTTTTATCTCAATATTTTTGACTTCGGCAAAATTTTAAATTTTGAGACTTACACCTCGAATCGTCTATAGGCTTACGCTTCATCTCATAAACATAAAACAACTCAACACCCAATTGTTAAATTTTAAACATTGGTATAATATAAATAAGTTAAGCATATCTTTGACATGCATCTTTCTTGCTTAATGGACACCTTTTAAAGTACTTAATAATATGCTTTCAAAAGAAATAAATAAATCTGAAGATCATTTCGCCTCTCGCTACACTTATTCATTAATTTTAGTAACACAAGAATCAATTACATAATATATCATAGTGGCATAAAAAAAATTAATACTCAAAAATATAAGGTAATTTCCATTCCTTTACTCTCTCTTTGGTGCATGACCCATGAATTTGATTCCTTTTAAAGCAAAATCTTATATAATTTCTTTATTCTAAATAATTAGTACCAAAATACTTCTCAAATTATTAGGCAACCATTCATCAAATTGAAAAAAATTGTAAATCACTATTACTATCTCTTAGTACTCCCCAAAATTTTCATTGGTATCTCATCTAGACCTAAGGTGTTGCCTTTATATAGCTCTTCAAAGCAAACTCCACTTCACATCTTTGGATCAATCAATAATACACTTATTCTATTATTTTTTTATGCCCTTACAAAAAGAAATATTCCTTAAAACTTTTATTTAATAACATTTTTATATTTCCTAGATATCATTATCTTAAACTATGTTCTTTTTACCCTTCCTTCACCCATTTTTTTAATCAAAATAATTAGAATTTTTATCTTGTAACTTAGCCATTTTGTGGATGCCTTTTTCTCTATCCTTAACAAGAAATCTATTACATAAACTATCAAAAATTGTATTTTGGCTTGTTAACTTTATTTTTTGCAGGACTTCAGCATTGTCATAATTATTATAAGCCTTAGTAAAATTCAATTTTTATAACTCTTCAAAACATTTATTTTATAAAATGTGTCAAAGTAACTATGGCAGCTTTCTTAACAGAATTAGCCATATTATCCTACAAAGTTTGCCTCAACAAAAAAATTCAAATTTTCCTCTTTCAACAACCTATTATTCAAATAGTTAGAAAAAATTAATGAGTGATGGAATAAACTTGCATAAGTAAAATAAAAAATAAGTTTAAAGCATGATTAAAATAGAATAAAATTTAAATAGTCATACATTATTTTTGTTCATCAAATATAGAACAAAGCTAAATATTATACGGTGATATACATATTAACCATGGCTACTAAGTAGAATTCATAACTAGTTATTTTAGGTTTGAATAGATCTCTTATTTTGAGTAAATAAGTACATAACATGTCCTAGCATGAAAATCATTTTATACAATAAAATAATCATTAAATTAGTTAAATCTAAGTTAATTATTTTCTTAAAATGCTACAATCTAATAGCAAACATGAAAGGAATAAATCATACACACGTTAATTTTTTTACAGCATATCAATTAGCTAGCATAATATGATAACTTTTGGGGATGTGGCAAGCCAAAGCGGCCCCAATGGGCTCAATGGCATAAGCACTCCCCCGTGGCTAGCAAGATGATGAAAAGGTTATAGAAGAGAAGATGCCTCAACAACTAAGCCCTCCACATGCACACAGTGCGCAACCCAGCCAAGCCTAGTCAGGTTTATCAAGTCAATTCAAATTAGGTTGGGCTACTTTGGTTTGGTTTAATATGATTTACATGATATAGTAATATGCATCATTAACATGATCAAGAGAGTAAGACAACTCAACCTAGTCAATTTAAAAAACCTAGGTTGTATTGGGGTGTTTATTGTTATGAGATATATGAAATGGACACTGAACTTTACATTCCAATTTTGCAATCTATCAATAACAAAATTCCCCTAGAGGGAACAAAAAGAGGTAGGATACAGGAAAAATTAAGTTAAACCATGAATCTACATGTTTCAACCAAAAATAAGTATATTTCCATGTTAAATCTATTAATTCTAAACTTTGTAGGTACAAAGAATGCTGCAATTAAGGCTGTGAAACCCATTTTTCATCTGTCATTTAAATCTGGAAAGATAATTGAAAAGAACATATAAATTCTCTTTATCTTTATAAAACGTGTTAGGAGTTTTCACTGAACCTTTAAGCTACACTTGTACGGACACTGGCCTAAAGAATAATTCCTACTGAATGTCTCCAATAGGATTTGTAAGTTCTTTCAATCGCAACAACACTCAAACAGGATAGCATAACGAGCAGTGCATTCAATCAAAGCATCCCAGCTACAAACAAGTCGATTACAAGGCTCCGGAAGGAAACAAGATTCAAATTCGAGGACGCCTAGAACTTAAAAAGAGGAGAACAAAATAGAATGTAAGAAGATCGAGGACTTCTGACCATCTCCATCCTTGTCGAAGAGGCTGAAGGCCTCCTTGAACTCGGAGATCTGTACGTCCGTCAGCTGCTCCGACATAGCAATCCTCGCACAGAGAGCGATTTTAACGAATAAAGAGTGGGAAACGAAGAAACCTGACGAGCACCCCACGAAAGAGAAACTTGCTGGCCAGCCTTATAGCATCGGATGCTTTGTCCAGGTCCTCCTCGACGCGTTCAGCGGTTAAGAAATTTGTTACTCTCCTATAAAAACCCTATAAATCACAACTATCGCTGCGCGTTTTAAACAAAATTTAAAAATTGCAGTTTTAACTTCGCTCATGCGCTTATCTACAAGTACAAATATTCCAGCTTTGACCAATCTATTTAATTATATTCTTTTAAAATAAGGGTAATTATAATGTATAGCACATAATAATTCTATATGTATATATATTTATATATATTTATTTATTTATTTAAAAGTGGATGAAAGCTATTACATGATCCCCCAGGCATTCTCATGTGCTTAACTATTCTAGGACCACCCTCGGTACCAACAATCTGCAAGAGGACACATAATACTTATTTATTTACATATATAGTATACAATTTTTTTTTAAATTTATGCCTGAAAAATCTTTCATATATCTCTTAAAAAATATCACTATTTTAATTTTAAAAAAGAAATTACAACATTTCATGAAAAAATAACATATACGTAAAACTTGAATTTAAATACTAGATAAATAAATACATAAAAAATGAGTGAAAAGTATGTAGGTAAATCCTCCTTTTATATAAGAAAATTTACATAAAAAGCACAAATACTTGATATTAATAATAAATTTTAATAAAAGATATATCTTTATACATATAAGATGTACTATAATTTATGAATCATACTAATTTTCTATGTCAAATATTTGACTATTAGAATTGCGTGATATATATGCAAATCCCCCTTCTAAATTTTAATGATAATGAGAAATTAGCATTGGGTAGAAAAAAGTAGGCAGCAACCGTGATACTAAGAGTTTACTCCAATTATTTTATTGAATTTTTTTAATGGAGTGATAACGTCCACATTTTGCCTAATTTTGAAATACCGACCATTCGGCCCACTAATTCGTTCAATATAGTAAATGGGTTTGATCCGATAATTATTCATCAAGGGATTGAAGATGGGAGCGGTGACCAATTGGTCGGTGCGGATGAATCAGTTTTCAAATTTGTCAAATTGAATAGAATCAAAAATCTAAAAAAAAAAAAACGGATCAATTAAAATTTTTAGAAAATTGAACTGAACCATCCAAACTTTAAATTGATTTAAACAACTCGGTTATGAACAAATCTGTTAGGTATGACTCATAATACCAGGATTTGGAGTCTCTTGGAATGAAGAGATGTCTCTTGGAATTAAAGAGATGTGTCCCTTGGAATTCAGTGGGTTGAGATCAGCGAGGGCGCAGCAGAAGCATGATGGCCTAACCCACATTGGTGCAGGTGTAACTCCCAGGTATCTTTTCTCCTAAGGGGCTGGATATTCGCCAAGCTGGAGATTTGTTATGGTATGACTCATATACCATATAGGGACAGACGCTGGAACAAAGCGGAGCGAAAGAATCTGTCCAAATTGAGAAGTTACGTTATATGGGTTGGGGCTGTACGGTACAGGGGTAATTTGGGAATTACATATTGTACTTCAGGGCTTACTCTAGGATTATAAATATCTGTTTGTAATCCTAGGTCTTTAAGAGAGCTGAATATTCTATTCTGTAATCTTTTCTGAATATTGAAAACAAGGTCGCCGCTCTGCTCCCGAGGACGTAGGCATCTTTGCCGAACCTCGTTAAATCTCTGTGTTCTTCTGGATTTGTGTCGATTACTGTTTTTCTTCGCCCTAATTTTCTCAACAAGTGGTATCAGAGCCAGGTTAGAGGGCAAGGAAGAAATTTCGTGCGCGAGGAAGAAATTCTCGACGGCAGGAACGACAGAGTTCTGCTAGGCTTCGGTCAGAGAAGAAGATCGGCAGCTTCTTGCGTCTCTACGGCGCAGCTTCTTAAGTTCGGTGAGGAGACTTCCATTTCGCAAAGGAAGTTTCGCGAACAAGTAAGATCTGCGAAAGACGAAGTTCGAGCAGGATCGGCGCAGAGCTTTTGCGCGAAGGGACTTCGATTATGAGCAAATATTAAGAATTAAATGTTTACTACTATAATATTGATTTAATTTCATGAGTACTCCATATAATTTAGATTTTTGAAGTTTTCAATTTATTAGATTAAATAAAAATTAAAATCAAATTAATAACCAAAAATCAGATATTGAGGGTTTAAAACCAAAAAATCAAATGTATTTTTCAAACAAAACTAAATCAACTAAACTTATTCAGTTTGATTTGATATTCAGTTTATAATGCACAGGAAAGCCAATTTAAACACATTCATCAATTTTATCGCCATTTTAGCTTTCTATGTTCCTTAATCAAACTCCATCAAGCGTGACCGTAAGCCATGTGTCGCATCCTCAAGTTTTCTACTTGGGAGTTACTTTTATTAGCTTTCATCAAAATCAATGTCTAAAAAAAATACACAAATGGAGTCAAGTTGGCTAAACAAGCTGAGTATAATAGGCGCATGATTGAATTTATCGAGCCAAAACTCAAGCAAACTTGAACAAGATCAGTCACAGATAGCCCAGATTGGATAGAAGTACATTGGTTGAGCATAGGCCAAATTTCCTCTTTTCGCTTGCATGTACGAGAAGAGAATGCAAATAACAATATGACCAAGAGAATTATCTCACCATTTTCGTTGGTTTAGGTTGCTTGCATGAAGCAAAAGCCATGATTCATATCATGCGAACACCATACCACCTTTTATTCACATTTATTGTCAATGATTAGTTAAGGCTGCAGAGCATTTCTAAATATAGCATGGCTTATGACCACAGTAGTGAGTGTTTTTGCTTGGCATATAGTGCATAAATTGCCCACAATTTATATATATATACTTTACTATCATATTAGAAAGCTTGTAATTTGATTCTACAATCAACTTTACTCATCACAATTTATTTTTTAAATAAAAATACATTCTCTTGCTTTTTTTTAAATCATTTTTACAAAATAACTATATAACATCTCCTAGTTTTGAGTCATTTCTTTGAAACTGCATATAGCGCTTACTTTTTAGTCTTCAGAGTATAAGAGTGTATCACAATTAAATTCCAACTATTTAAATTTATGTTTTCTTTCCATTCAAATTTAATGATTTCACATGCTTCTATGTTTAAGAGTGGCAAAGTGATAGATCAAATCAATGTGACTTATGAAGGCACCTATACAGCCCACATCTCTTTATTGATATACAGGCATATGAATATAATATCTTTCACATGATTACTTAATACTATAAGGAAAGAGCATTATGACCTTAAAAATGTAAATAAGATTCATGTGAAGCCAGAAGATACAAAGGATGTGAAAGCGGTTGTAATCATGGAAACAGAGGACCTTTCAAATTATTCTATTGATTTGTTTCTTGGCTCACTTGTTACTTGTCCAAAAACATAAACATGTCTTATAAAAGAAGATAGCCAAGCACATAGCTCTAAAGGCACTAGATATAAATAAAATTGGGGTCATGTAACAAAAAAACAACAATAATAATTTAAAAATAAAAAAAAAAGAGGCAATTGCATACAGACCACCCGAAACTTGATATTTACAATTCAAACCGTCCTCTTTCACTATTTTTCAATTCTCACTCAAATATCAAAATTCATGATAAAACCTCAAACCTATATTTTTCATCTTTATCAAATTATCCTTATGTTGATCGTGGCACGCGTAAATACATCAGGCTCAGAAGTCAAAAAAAACCACCTGGGTGGTTAATTTGTAAATATTAATGTTTTGAGTGGTCTGTATGTAATTAACCCTAAGAAACATATGGCTATTCAAGGTGGAATTTGCTGCATAATAGCTGACACTACAGTGATGCTTTCATCAATGAAAGGCAATACATTCATTGCAAGTAAATATACCATACATGGGTGGCTCAAGAAATATGAGAAACTGCCAAGATTCTAATGCCACTGTCGAATGTTCAAAATCACCATTTTAACGGGAAATATTGGTAGCATTAATATCCATTCATGCAGAAAATGTAACACAGTAAAAAGTATCAAATATTTACTACAGAAAAATAATATCAATGACATCTCCAGGATGGTTGCGGCTGCTAGAATTGGTTTTATTTCACTATAATAAGCATCAACATAACAATTAACAAATTAAAAAACATATATATATATATATATACTCTATAATATATATATATATATATATATATACTCATTGTTGATGTTGAGGTAAAATAAAAATGACTGAACTTTTTTTGTTACAACAGAACCCATTGTAACATTAACCAATATTCCATACTCTTGATTTTAACCAGCTAGCTCCAGAAATTCTATCAAAATTTTCTGATCCAAGATACTTCAAATATTACATACAGGTATCAACAACAGAATCTTAAGATTAATGTTTTAAATATATTCTCCACTGTCAACGATATTTAACTAAAACTATATCATTTGCAAAAGATAGATCAAAGCATCATATCATTATAAGCATTAACATAGCAATTAAAAAATACACAAAATATATGTACTCAATGTTGATGCCGATCTAAAATAAAGATAATTGTAAACTTTTAGTTTAGTACAGAACCTCTAGTAATATTAATCATTATTCCATCATGCATATATTTATTAATATCAACATACTTTAAAAAAAAAAGGAATGCCTCGAAGCACATAAATCAAATTTCAAAAGATCATAAATTTCTTTGTGATTTAATATAAAATCCTTCTATAATAGATATTCATGGCATGAAATCAACTTGATTCAATGAAGCTGATACATTTTTTCTGAATCCATATTTCCTTACTCTCTCAAAACTTTAATCTATGACTCACAAACTTGATTTCTTCATAGTTAGTAAAATCTTTAACATCACCATTATTTTTAAATATTAACACAAAGCAACTTCTCCAATCATTTCAAATCCACTTAATTTCAAAATTCTATTGAAAATGTTGTTAATCAAATAATTTCCCTAAAAACACTTTATCATAATCACCATCATTAGCATTAGCCTCATCCTAACTCTTTGGGATATCATTAAGAATCCTTATTTGTTCTTTCTAGTTACCATCTAAAATGTTAAAGCTATGCTTTACAAATCATTTTTAATTTATATCCATATAATACTGCATCTAC